AAAGGAAAATCACTCTCTCCAAGTGGTAGAAATGATAGTGGGATTTTTTTTTCATCTCTAGGTGAAGATTGTTTTAAAATCTGCCTCCAGTGTGCTACATTAATTCTATTTGTCTGAATAGTAATTGTATTTAAATCAGACAAACTGAGTTTCACCAATGCTGCTTGCTGCTACATTTCCACTAAAAAGGTGGCTTAAAACTGTTCTTTCTTAAACTATTCCTTCTTAAATATATATACCCATCATCTATCTCACACACTGCCTATCATTCATCCCCAAGTTGTACTAATAAGAAAAATTTCAGATTACCATGATTGCAGTTCTGAAATTGCTGGGATTATGAAATGTAATCTTAGTTTAACATGCATGGGTAGAATTACCTAAAGTAGCTGCCAGTTATTGAGTCAATGCCAGGCATTTTATTTGCATTATGACAGGTGGGTGGTATTGTCCCTCTTGACAGAGGAATGAATTGAGGCTCAGAGAGGTGAAACACCTCGGCCATGGTCACCTAGTAAGTGGTAAATCTAGGATTTGAAACTTGGTCTCTTGGTCCAGAAGCCCCTTTCTTTATAGTATATTTCTCTTCCTCAACTAAAGCACCATTGTTTTCTTGGGCATTGAATGTTTGTGCACATCATTTTAGAATACTTTTCTTTGTATATACCACAATGACATCATGGCTAATGGGCCATCAACAGCAGCATTGCCTTCTTGAATTCATGCCCTCAGACAGACTTGACAGAACTTTAGGATTTCAATCCAAGTTGTTGGGAGTCTTCCTACAAAGCCCACTTGATTAGCAATTGCCAAACAGATGAGTCTACAATTGTGTTTTCCAGATTCTACAGCCATATTACAGTATATAGATTGCATGTGGCGTCATATTATTTGCTTCTCTTGGGATCACCTCACTTTGGGGGATGCTAGTATGGGCTTTTTGCCTGAACATCATTCTCAGATTTTCTCCCAATTTCCAGACTCGGGAAGTAAACCTATGAACTTCTGGAAAGCAGCCTGCAGAGGGAGATCCTAGGCTTCATGTAAAGCTTAAAAAATACTTTAAATCTTGGGTCCCGAGTCAGAACCTTCAGAACTGTGGTTTTATTTCTAGAATAAGTTACAACCCAATAGCCATGTCTTTAGAGACTTGTGGCTGAATTAGTTCTAATGTTTTAAGAAAACTAAGTTTCAGGTCTTGTAGACATGACAGTGAGATGTCCACTGGGTGGAGATTCTACCCAATATTGTGTTCTCTATTGTTTATATTCTGTACATGATTAAGGTGACAAGGATTTAGGGAGAATGCCTATTTTAAGCTCTCTGGAAGTCAACGGCCAAGAAAGTCAGCAACTTACCTTCCCAAAATTATCCACAAAGCCTATGATTATCATAGGTTTAAAGGCATACATATTCCTCTGTTTTGCAAAAAGGTTTTTTTGAGAAATGGGGTCTTGCTATATTGCCCAGGCTGGAAGGTAGTGGCTATTCATAGGCATGATCATCATGCACTGCAGCCTTGAACTCCTGGTCTCAAATGATCCTCCTGTCTCAGCCTCCAGGTAGCTGGGACTGCACGTGTGTGCTGCCATGTCCAACACAAAAGTCTTACTATTGACTTTTTTTTTTTTTTTTTGAGACTGAGTCTTGCTCTGTCATCAGGCTGGAGTGCAGTGGCATGACTTTGGCTCACTGCATCTTTTGCCTCCTGGGTTCAAACGATTCTCCTGCCTCAGCCTCCTGAGTAGCTGGGACTACAGGCGCCTGCCACCATGCCCGGCTAAGTTTTGTATTTTTAGTTGAGATGGGGTTTCACCATGCTGGCCAGGAAGATCTTGATCTCCTGATCTCGTGATCCACCCACCTTAGCCTCCCAAAGTGCTGGGATTATAGGCGTGAGCCATCATGCCTGGCCTTGACTTTTATTCACAAAGGTAATTGAAAAGCTGAGGCATTCACTCCAACTTATAGAAGCCATAAATATTAGCCCCAAGTGAGTTACTATAATTCAGCGCTGGCAACCTCCCCTTTGATGCGGATGTCATTTCAGATGATTCCTCTTCTTTCCTCTATCCTGGATTACCATGTAGGCTTTTTGAAAATAGAAATTCTATTTTATGACAGTTTGGGCAGACTAACAGGTCTCTATGAAAAGGCATTGAAAATATAGGCATGATTTCCCCAAAAGAAACCTAGAAATGGCTTTAAAACTTTTTAGAAAGTGAGATACAAAAAAATTACAGAGTTAACATTGATATTAGGAAAGTAACCCGGGAAGGGATCTTAGATTTTACGTTAGCACGATATTCGGCTACTTCTTTCACTATTAGCAAATTAATTTATGTAGATCACTGGGTTTTTCCCTGTTTCTGAAATCCTTGGTTCACTGGGGAAATAGCCTTAAAATCAAAGAGAGCAAGGTTCATCATTATGTGTCACTGTGGTTCAGTGAGCAGGTTGGCTCTCTCATGTGATTCTTGATATGAGGCTGGGATCAACCAAGAGGAAACGTGAACAATGCTTGGTGAACCTTAAACAAATGAATGCTTCTCCAGGAAGTGAATGCAGTAGGGCACAGACGCTGGGATTACTCCTAACCTGCGGTGATACTCATCCTCTGCTCAACAAATACTTACTGTATCTGTGCCAGGGATAAAACATGCCAAAATCTCTGCCTTTGTTGAGATTATATTCAGGGTTGGATATAGATAATAAGTGCTAAACATAACTACTTTGTAAGAAGTAATTTACAAGAATATATAACTACTTTATGAAGAATATTTGAAGGGCATTTAAAAATTATAAATATTAAAATAAAGAAAAATATTCAAAGATTAGTGAATGGGAAAAAATGGAGAAGGGGATCAGGAGTTCTAGGATAGGAAAAAGGAGGACAGATTGAATTTTTTTTTTTGGATACAGGGTCTCGCTTTGTCACCCAGGCTGGAGTGCAGTGGTATGATTTGGCTCACTGCAGCTGGACCTCCAGCTCAAGTGAGCCAAAATCGCACCACTGTACTCCAGTGGTGAGCTCAAGTGATTCTCCCATCTCAGCCTCCCGAGTAGCTGGGACTACAGGTGTGTGCCACCATGTCTATTTTTTGTTTTGTTTTGTTTTTTTTTTGGTAAAGATGGGGTTGCCCAGGCTGGTCTCTAACTCCTGAGCTCAAGGGATCTACCCACCTTGGCCTCCCAAAGTGCTGGGATTACAGGAATGAGCCACCATGCCCGGCCAGGTTGTAATTTTAAATAAGGAGGTAAGGATAAGCCTCAATGCAAAAGCAACATTTGAAGCAGATGAGGATGGTAGCTATAGGGACACCAAATAAAGGAATTGTCTATGCAAAGGCCCTAAGGCCAGGACCCTGCCTAGTCTCTCTGAAAAAGAGGAAGAAGGCCACTGAGGCTGTGGCAGAGTGAGAGGAGGAGGATAGTACCAGATCAGGTCCAAGAGGTAATGGGTGTTGTGTGGGGAGGAGTGGGTCATATGGGGACTTGCAGCTCGTTGTAAGGACTTGCTTTTATTCTGGGTGAAGTGATAAAAGGTTGCAAGGTTTTGAGAAGACAATCAACATAATTTGGCTTATATTTTAGAATAATCACTCTGGCTCTAAAGACTGGAGGTGAGGAGGTGAGAGCAAGGCAGGGATTCCAGGGAGGAGGCTGTGGGACAGATCCAGGACAGAGATGCTGGTGACCTGGACCTGGATCATAGCAGGGGAGATGGGAGATGCTGTAAATAACAGCATCTACTGGATCAAAATAACAGTACATTAAATGTGGGATGTGAGAAAGGAGTCAAGCTTTTTAGACTTAGTACCAGTTGGATGGAAATGCCATCAACTGGGATGAAAAAGATGGCAAGTGAAACAGGTGAGAAAGGTTTTTAACATTGTAAATTGCGTATAACTACTAAAATTGGGTGAAGATGTTAATGAGGCAGGTTGGTGTATGAATCTGGTGTTTAGGAGTGGAAACTAGGCTTGATGTGTGAATTTAGGAGTCCTCAGCATATATATGAAACCATGAAATAATCCTTGGAAGTCCCATCTCTAGAAGTTGCAGCCAATGACACGGGACTTAGTCGTCCTCTGGTCAAGTTGACCGTGCCTTCTATTGTCTTTTAACTACAAAAGCACGGCGCCAATCATAACCAGCTACATTCACTAGTTTCATTGTTTTATATTTACTGGTTCACCATATTTTCACACTGTGCACAGCTAGAACTAGGGGTCATCTACTAACAGCCTCTCATTTTACAGATAAAAAAGAGTTAAATGACTTGCCCAAAATCACATGAAAAAGTTACAGCAGGCAGGAGTGCCTTCCTTCCAGCCTAGTCTTCTTCCTTACACTAGGTAGAGCACTTGAATGTTCATTAGATGGAGCAGGAAAGGTTATAACAGAGAAGTAAAATCAGACGTCATTTCTGCCACCAGTTGTTTCCTTCAAAGCAAGACTCTAGGTAATGGAGCTCTCTTAGGCATTAACTTTGGTGGCAGTTGCATCCTGCATAGTAAAAAAGCCATAGGCAAAGTTTAGCAGACCTGCTCTTGAAGGGAGAGTCGGAGAGCCTTCTGAGTTGCTCAGGCCACGCTGTGGATAAATCAGGGAGTGACCATTGGATTACAGGAAACTGGGACATGGGGAAATCATTTTTTTTCCATTCAATCAGTCACAATAAAGTGATTCTTTTTTTTTTTTCTTTTTTAAGAGAGGGGGTCTCGCTATGTTGCCCAGGCTGGAGTGCAGTGGCCATTCACAGGCGCGATCCCACTACTGATTAGCACGGGAGTTTTGCCCTGCTCCGTTTCGAACCTGGGCTGGTTCACCCCTCCTTAGGCAATCTGGTGGTACTCCGCTCCCGGGAGGTCACCATATTGATGCCAAACTTAGTGCAGACACCTGATCGGCCAGATCAGGTGCACTACAGCCCAGAACTCCTGGGCTCAAGAGATCTTCCAGCCTCAGCCTCCTGAGTAGCTGGGACTGCAGGCACGTGCCACTGTGCCCAGCAATAAAGTGATTCTTTTCTTATTAGACTAAGAAACTAAAGGAAAAGGAGAAGAAAGAGAATGTGGGTGACTCTGCCACCAACTTTTGATGATTCTTGATGATGAATTGGAGAAGCTGGAAAAAGCTAAAGGAACATAGAATTGAACATACTTTTTATTTGACTGTGATTACAGTCAGGCAAATATTCCTTGAATTTGTCTCTAATTCAGCACTTCCTTAGTTATTGTGCATTATTTGAATGGGCTGTTGAGTTCTAATGGGCCATTATGTATAATTTGTAAACGGCTATTACACATGGAGAGGACTAACTCATTCAACAGCTATTCATGGAGTGCAGGCATGGGAATTGTAGGGTAAATAAGATAGGTGAGGTATTTGTTTTCATAGAATTTACATTCTCATTGGGGCATACAGACAATAAATACATAAGCAAAGAAGTTAAGTTCTGACAGTAATAAGTGCTATGAAGAAAATGAAACAGGTCTTGGGATAGAGAGATGAGCTGCGCTAATAGGAGGCTCAGAGGAGGACAGGTAACTTTTTTTTATATGGTGGCTTTTTTTTTTTTTTATGGAGTCTTGCTCTGTTGCGCCCAGGCTGAAGTGCAGTGGTGCAATCTTGTTCACTCCGCCTCCTGGTTCAAGTGATTATCCCACCTCCGTCTCCCAAGTAGCTGGGATTACGGGTGCCCGCCCATGCCTGGCTAATTTATTTGTATTTTTTTAGTAGAGACAGAGTTTCACCATATTGGCCAGGCTGGTCTCAAACTCCTGGCATCAGGTGATCCACCCACCTCAGCCTCCCAAAGTTCTGAGATTACAGGCATGAGCCACCACACCTGGCCACAATGACTGGTGACTTTTGAACTGAAACCTAAATAGTAGGAAAGAACCAGTCACATGGAGATGTGGGCCATTACAGGCAAGGAGAAAAATCCCAAGACCAAGGGCCTTGACATGGTAACAATCTTAGCATGTTGAAGGAGATGAAAGGAAGCCAGTATGACAGAACTGCAGTGAACGGGGTTGGGGCCACATCACGTAGGGCCTCATAGGCCATAGTAAGAACTGTATTCTAAGTATAGCACGAGACTATTGGAGGATTTTAAGCAAAAGAACAACATTATCAACTTTATTTCTTGAAATCGCGCTGAGATTCCTTTTTCAAGGAATAGAGTCAGTGAGGGAAAGGGGGAAACAGAAAGACCAGTTAGGAAGTTATTACACCAATCTAGAGAGATGGTGGTAGCTTGCCTCAGGGTGGTAGCAGTGAAGCTGGCTGAAGTGATGAAATTTGGGAGGGATAGGATCAATTGAGTTGCAGATGGTTGAATAAAAGGATTAAGGGAAGAAACAGTGGAGGAGACACTGGGTTTTATCTGAATAATTGGAATGATAATGAGATCATGAGTCAAGATGGGGAAAACTGGAGAACAGCAAATTTGTAGAGTAGAGGTTGGGGGGTGGGGAACAGCAGAATTGAGGTTCTGTTTTAGATTTATTATGTTGGATAGACCAATCTGACATTTGGGCAAGTAACTGTACACAAGAGTTTGGAATCTGAGGGAAAGAGAGCTAGAGAGGTGAAGTTGAATGTTACTAATTTTATATAAATAATATTTAAGGTCATAGGACTGAAATCTCTCATCTTAGGAAACAATGTAGATAGAGATATGAAGACCAAGCTCTGGGACACATCAACCTCACAAGGAGATGGACCCAGCAAAGGCTACTTAAAAGAAACTGTGAGCTGGGGACAAAGAGAAAAACTCAGTAGGGTGTGGTGGCGTGGAAGTCAAGAAAAGGAAAGTGTTTACGGAGGCAATGGTGAGCTGCGATGAATGCTGCTGAGGGGTCCATGACAGAAACACAAATCACTGACTTGGCAAGAGGTGACTTTGATAGAGCAGTTACTGAGGATGGAGAAGGAAGAAGGCTGAACTGCAGGGGGTTGAAGGGAGAATGGGAAATGACAAAATGGAAACAGGTAGAAACAATTTATGTTTGGGGTTTCTGTCATCATTTTAGCTAGTGATATGGTAATGAGGTAGGACTATAAGCAGTATTGCTAGAAAAACTCCCAAGTCTGAGGCTTTAAAAAGGTGAATAAAAACTAATACATATTCCTAGGAAATTTGATTGGCTGTGTTTGCTTGGGGGGATGAAGTTTTCTTGGAGACACCTTGATGAGAATCCATAAGGCCCTTACAATTCTTGAATACTAATTTTTTGGATCTGTTTCCTGTAGCTCTTCCCCTCAAATTGAACAAAAAGCAATAGTAAGAAAAACCCAGCATTTATAGGGCAGATAGTATGCAGTTTAAAGGTGTTTTTGCTCATTTTATCTTCATAATTTCTCAGGAGGTAGGGGCTGTTATAATCCCTTTTTTGATAAGGTAACATGACTCTTCTAAACTCCAGGTGACCAATTGTTCATTGAAATCTTGCAGACAGGTGTGATGGCTCATGTCTGTAATCTCAGCACTTTGGGAGGCTGAGGCAGGAGGATCACTTGAGGCCAGGAGTTTGAGAGCAGCTTGGCCAACCTGGTCAAGTTGGTGATTCTCATGCCTCAGCACACAGATATGTGCTACCACATAAAGACTCACCAGGTTGAGTAGTACCAGCTACTCAGGAGGCTGAGGCATGAGAATCACTTGAACCTAAGAGGTGGAGGTTGCAGTGGAGCATCACTGCATTCCAGCCTGGGGGACAGAGTAAGACTGTCTCAAAAAAAAGAAAAAGAAATCTTGTAACACACCTGGTACTTGAGTTGGGTAGTGCCTTTGTTTTAGCAAAAATCTTCATTTTCTCTCTCTCCTTCTCACCTAAATACCGAATAGTATGTTTAAATAATAGCATTGGGATTGGAACCCAGGCAGTCTGGGAGCTCCAGGCTCCTAGTCTTAACCAATATGCTATCCTCTAATACCAGACAAATGGAAGGGAGACTGTGGAAGGGAAAAACAGAAGATATTTTATCAAATCAGTATTGGTACAGAATGGCATAGATGTTATAATGCATTGAGCTAGAATGGAAAATTTTATTCTGCAGACGCCTTCTTAATGGTGTTTTTAAATCTGCGTGCCAGTAAAGCCCACACTAATGGAATGCTAGTCCTCAATATTCTCCCCAACATCCATTCTCACTCTGCTAATAAACTGTCCCTCAAAATCAAAAGGAGAGTGTCACACATACACACTTTCCTTTTGGAAAGCATTTTGGTATTTTTCTACCTGACAGCTAGGAAAACAGATGGTTGATTGATTGGTTGCCTTTATTATTTTTAAGACTGCCTCTTATTTTGTGTGTAGAATTAGGGGCGTTTCCTGAGGAGTGATAAGTCCCCAGGAGGAGACCTTATCCTCTAAGGTATAGAAAGGCCTAGCAGACATTGATGGCCAGGAAGTGCCCTAGACTGGAATTATTTTTGTTGTTCTAATCTGAAAATGACAACATAGAACACAGCCAGCAGCATACAGCATTTTATTATGGTGATGCAGCTTTAATTGGTATGTAGAGGGCATGCCTGTGAAATTAGTCCTTAGTATATTGGCCAATCAGATCACTTTCAACATTTCTCAATGTTTAGTTTCATCTTATAATTAAATAATAATCATCACTTCCTGTCAGCTAATGACTAGCTAGAAGAGTTAGAAGCTTCATTAGGTTTGTAATTTATCAAACTGTAAGCTTTTCATCAGAAGTGTTGCAAAAAGAAAAAGCATCTTCGAATTCCAAAATTATTCAAAACAATCTCTAACCGTATTTCATATATGTATTCACTTGTTCTTTGAAGGCTGACTTTATTTTTTAAACTTTTAAAAATAACTGTGTTTCATTATATAAGCAGGAAAAAATGTGTGACTTGGAGAAGGAAACAGATATATTGAACTATGTTAGCACATACACACACACTCTAAAAGCAGAATTGACATACGGTGTTTCATATAACAATCTTTCTGTGACAATTCCACACCCTTTCCTGAGGCAGGTTTGACTATCCATTAATTCCAGCAATAGCATCATTGTATTTACTTCACAAATATTTATTGAGCACCTACTATGTGTTTAGGCATTATCCTAAATGCTGAGGATACTGCAGGGGCCAGAGGAGGGTTGCGAGGAGACAAGAACAAAAACCCCTGTCTTTATTAAGCTGATAATATCATCTTAAAGTTTCTGTCTTCAAAATTACCCTGGAAGACTGCAATTAGATGTGTTCAAAGAAGCCAAGCTAAAGGTAGAAGAGGACCCTCACTGAACCATGTGGCTACCTTGCCTCTGTCTTCTCATCCATATGGCCATTACATAGTAGCTCCAGCTTCTGCTAACTCAAGGATCACTCAGTGATCAACCATATGTGGAGGATTACAATCCTCCTTTCTGTGAGAGAAAGTGAAAGTCTCTTTGCCTAGTTTGAGATCTGCTTTCTTCTTCTTTTTGGGACCTGACATGAGCTGGTCATAAGAGAAAAACCCAGAACTAAAAAACAATGGCGTCTAATTCCAACTTGTTTCCTCTTGAGTTTCTAATGGTTGGGGTATTTATTAAATAAGTACGGCTTGATGCAGAGACATCCAGACCTACCATTCAGGTGTGGGGTTCTAGAAATGTGGAACTCAGGGATTCTTCCAGAAGACTTCTGTCCTGCCTAAATCAGGTCTGAAAGGCCTCTGAAGAAATGGAACAACAGTCTGTGTGTACTCACCCTTGGTCTTTCATCGAAGTTGCTCCTGGGAATCCCTCGAAGATATTTTCTGACCACACACTCATGAGTTCCTTGAAGTAGAGTAATCTTAGGTGCTCAGAGAAACTCCGTGGTTCCTTCACCACAGGAGCAACTCGAGATGTGAGGTCCTCTGGATCATCAGGGTTGGCAAAAGCACGCAGCAGAACTCCAGGAAAACTGCTGGCATTTGGTTTGTGCTGTCAGATCAATCCTAGGATTTCAACAGCAAAAATACCCACCATTGTCCTGTGTGAAATCTGGGCGTTACCCTGGTGCCTCATGTAAAGTTAGCCTTCTAGTATCCAAACGAATTCTCTTCATGGTAGACTCTTCACAACCAAGAATTGAACTTCCCAGCCCTCATGCTACCAAATCCAGTTCTCCAAGACGGCTCCTGGGAATGCTTCTTCATGTCTGAGCACCTTGCCCTCAGCATGTTTCATAAATGGGTAGAATGTGTGATTGATGGCCTTTTTATTTTATTGAAAGCTTGTTTTTTTCTGTAGAAATTCTGAAATTTCAAGATGTTCTTCATTACTTTGTCATGTGACAAATATTTCAAGAAACACCCAGCTATTTAAAAATCTTTAGACAGACTTCATGAAGGAAAGACATATACACATCCTACTTGTTTAATAAATACTCCAACCATTAGGAACTCTAGGGGAGAGAAGTTGGTAATTATTTAATGAACTTTCTGTGTAGTCACTTTCATGTAAAGTATAGCTAGGGACTCAGACGGAGCCTTTCACTGCAGCCCTGAAATTACTACCATTAGTAATGTAAAATTACTTTTCCTAATGTGCCTAGCAGTCTCATTTGCCTATACCACAGGTCCTCAAACATTGTCTTGTTCAATGTTGTTTCACTATAAACTGATGAGGAAAAACTGATTTCCCGCTGGGGTCACTATCTGTGTAGGATTTACACTTTCCTCCCATGTCTGTGAGGGTTTTCCCCAGGACTTGGTTTTCCTCCCACATCCCAGGGACATGCATGATAGCTGATTGGAGTGTCTACATAGTCCCAGTCTGAGTGAGCATGGGTTTGTGTGTGAGAGCGCCCTGTGATGGGATGGCATCCTGGCTAGGGTTGGTAACCACCTTTCACCCTGAAGCTGCTGGGATAGGCTGTGGCCACCCACAGCCCTGAACTGGAAGAAATGGGTAAATAATTATCTTACTTACTTTAATTAATCTTTCTTAAATGCATACATAAATCACATTTATTTCAATGATTAATATTAGAAGTGCTTTGGTCTTTATTTAGAAGTTTGGTGATGTTTTTGTGTCCAGGAATACACCATAGAAATTTAACTCTTGTTTCTATCAATTAGCCTATGGTAGAATTGGCTTAACTAGAAATCATTTTGCTTAAAGTCATAATTTTTAAGAACCTATCAACGACATTAACTGAGGACTTACTGTAATTGCCCAAGAATTGTAGCCTTTGAATTCATTCCTGGATGAGAGAAAAGATATTTCTATAATATATACTCTTATTTAAGAAACCAGGGGTTTTCCAAAGAAAGAAAATATCACAGTGCTTCTCTGTATGATCACACTGTATCAAGAAAAGATGGATCCACAGAGGCTGAAGCAAAACTCTTGCAGATGTAATAGGTGCCACCTCACTGTTTCCTCATTGTTTTTCTAGGTCTAATGAAAACATAAAGATTGAGGGCTTGGCCTCACCCTGGTAATATGATCAAAAATAGAACTGTGGTAGTAAAAATGAGAGCATCAGAAGAATCATATTCAGGGGAAGGACAGGCCTCAAAAAGGGGAGATTACTCTGAGTAATTCATGCTCCTTTTCTCCTTTTTCCTGTGTGAAATTCAGTGTTTCCTTTATCATTTTTTTTAGAAGAAGGCTATGCTCAGGATCTTTAGAAGCTGGTGGTAACTTTACAATCACTGGCTCCACTAGGCAATGAGAGACTTGCTAAAGGAGAAACAGACTATGAAGGTAAAACATTCTACCCAGAATGGCCACTCTGCGTGCTTTATGAATGAATCCAAGTTTTGGAAGTTGTGGGAATGTGTTCAGTCGAAATTTTTCAATTGCTTGCACTGGGGAACCACCCTCATCACTAGGCCTGGGGATTATGAACCAAAACCAGGGATTCCAGCCTCTGAGTCAGGGCGAGTGCCTTGAAAGGGAGGATGCAGGGAACTGGGCTCAGTGCCGCTCCTAAAATACCGTTCCCCTCCTGGAGGTCAGGTCTGGCAGGGTTTAATGACTCAATTCATGCAGTGAGTGGCATCTTGGTAGCTCAAGGGAGGTAGGCAACACCATTCAACACAAACTGGGATTGAAGGTTGTTGGGTGGAGTGGCTATGAGCTGGACACCTAAGAGGTTGTAGTCTCTGAGAGGTCAAAGAAAGCTTTTGCCAAGCCTGTCAGATGAGTCAACAGATAGAGACTTCCATCTCTGTGTTCATCCATTCTAATTTTTTAATAGCACCAAATATATAGAAAGTCCAGAAATGAATTATCTGATGTTGGGTATTTATAACAGATGTTCGATGGTTGGTTGATTAGTGTTAGTTATTTCCAGTGCATGGGTTGCCTCTGGCATAAGTGTTGAATGAAACAAATAAAAAATATTTTTATATATACATATAATGTACCCAAGAAATTTAAAAATAAAAGTAAAAATAAAAAAAATTTTAGTAAGCAGCATAGCAAGACCCTGTTTCTACAAAAAAATAAAAAATTAGCCAGGTGTGGTGGTGCACATCTGTAGTTCTAGCTACTCAGGAGGCTGACGCAGGTGGATCGCTTAAGCCTAGAAGTTCGAGGCTGCAGTGAGCTATGATTGCACCACTGCACTACAGCCTGAGTGACAGAGTGAGACCTCATCTCTTTAAAAACAAATTTTTTTGAGTTAAAATATTATTTCAAGAGGACCTAGTTAAAGGTTAATTTTCTGGCATACAAAGTGAGCAGACCAAATGGGTTTAAAACTTTAACAGCATGATTCATCTGGCAAGACCATTCCTTTTTCTTTTTTCCTGCGCCTTTATCTGCAAAGCTCTAAAATGGCCTTAGGAATAAAGCAAGGTAGTTAACATTTTTAAAGCAAATTCAAAAGCAAGACAGAAATGAAATGATCCCTTCTTACCTGCATCTTCCCCTGATATCTCTGTAGTCTGACCCTAGGGAATGAGTGCTGTGTGGATCAGATCAAGAGAGATGATTGGTTTACTACTTCTGAAGACTCTGAAGCTTTTGCTAACCCTCAAAGTGACCTAACCTCTTGGGGACAGAGGGGCATTTAGTCTTGAATAATATAGACCAACCAAGAACTCCTATGGCCCTGTAAGTCCTTACCCATGTAGCTACTGAAGTGAGCTTTGGGGAGAGAGAACTGCCATCCCCCCAGACATTGTAAGGCAGACCCCTTGAGGCAGCCACAAGTCAACTGCTCACATTTTTGGCTGGTGCCCCTCAGCAGACTAGCTCTAGTTATAAGGGGATGTTCTAAATAACCCCAATGGAACAATCCACAGTCACTTACTAAGTACCTAATAAAACCATGTATAACTCCCTCCTACCTACTCTTGGGTAGATAGCCTCTGAAGAGCCTCTGGATTCATAAAATTCACCCTGAAATGAATATTTCTCCAAAAAGTACTTGGGGTCTCTTCCACATACCCATATCTCACTTCCCTTCCCTTTCACGCCCACAGCAAGGCCTATCACTGCAAACTGGCAATGAGGCAAGGTGGCTGGGAGGTGCGCCTACCTGGGGGAGTTCTGTTGTTTTTATAACCAGTGCCAGCTCTGAGTGTGTGGTGAGTAAGAGCCTCTTCCTCTTCCCTCTGGGCTGCCCTCCTCTCCCATGCCAATCTCATTGCTGGCCTGTTGCAGATATGGTGGTAAGCAAGGGCGGCTGCCTGGCTCTGATGCTTCCCAGACTTGGGTCTGCAAACTCAAGAAGACAACAAAATGTGTAAGTGAGGGTTTCGTGGGCCTGTGTTTCCTATTAGCTGGTATTCCTGCGTGAAGTTTTCTGCGGAGAAGGGACAAATGTGAAGACACCACTACAGCGTTATTCTTACTTCCCCCATTAAGTAAATGGGAAGTTCTCACTTGGCACACAAGAGTGAAATGGATGTTGACTGCCTCTTCCAGTCACCTCTGGGCTGATTTTAGATTAGACGACCTTTTCTCAAAGGAACCTTATTTCTGCAAACATCTCTTTTAAAACTCGAAATAATTTCTGCTTGTTTACTCTTACGTTAGAGAGTTATAATACAAGAGTAATTATGGTTACTTGTTCTTGGGTTACTGTTGTAACCATAATTTGCTTATACATTGGTTTTGCTATTTTCCTTTCTGAATGGCGTTTGTTTTAGATTGTAGCTCCTTTCTTGTGTTACGTTGCTAACATTTTTGTCAGCTGCCAGATTATTACAAGCAGATAAAGGGGGAGTTTTCTTCTAGAGAGACCTCCATGGTTCATGCTCAAAGAATTTGTTTTGTATACCCTGTGGTGGTGGGGGGGAATAATTCGTTGCTGTCTTTGTGTGTGTGTGTCTATGTGTGTTGTTAGCTGTGATCTGCAAAGATTTCTGCATTTTTAAGCATAAAGATCGGTTTCTCACTTTGTAACATGATTTCTTTTCAAACTTGTCATGTAATTGAATCCAGCTTTGAGTGACACTTTAAAAAATACTCTCCTGCGTCAGAAGTGCTTCTTCAAACCAGGTGCTCTTCACGCTCACCTGCTGGCATGTTTGATGAGCAGCCAGCCACAACTGGGTGCCAAATCCATTCTAAATATGGGAGTCTGTGCTTGAGAAGACTAGTCATACTAATTATTCAGACCTCCTCGTTGGAAGTAATGTGCCAAAATCACAGAAGCAGAAAAGCCAGAAACAGTATGAGGCTTGGTATTGAGGAACCATAAAAATCAGAATTTTGCCTCATAATACCGTTTTGTTCTTGGGTTACGTCCTTTCCAGCTATGAGCTCATCAGCCCTTGTTCTATCTCTGAGCTGGTTGGCATCATTGCCGTTCTACAGATGGAGAATGGGAGACACAGCTGTGTAAGCCAAAATGCCTGAAAGCCGGATGATCTTGCTGAAACTGGGAGCCAGCACCCCTGGTGTCTCTCTAGCTCCTTGCTGCCTGTGAATCTGCAGCTTAAAAGAGGAGAGCTGGAGGCTAAGTCGGAACCACCTAGAGTTGCCTGCAAGCAATCTGTATTTGAATTGCCTCTCAGAGGCCTGGTGAAACCAAGCGGTGGGTCAAACCAAAAGGGCTTCCAAAAACGGGAAGAAGGTTAAAAGTGAGGAGATGGGGATCGAAGTCCAGGAATGCAGGGAATATGCTGGAATATGCTTTTTATACAGGCCATCCCTCTTTTAACTGTGGGCTGAAATATACTGGATAGTATCTGTTACACAGAAAGTACAATGTTCCACTGATAGGAAAGATTTAAAGACCATGCATTATTTTAAATCATTATTGCAGGAAATATTCCTTGAGGCTCCCCTATGAGCCAAGTCCTATCATATTCAGCTTTGTAACCTGAGTGCCTATCATTCAGTGGATGGACAGGAAGGATGCCTTGCTGAATGGATGAACACATTGTTCATGAGATTTTAAGGACTCTCCATCTTCTCCCTGCTCTTCCTCCCTTGGAACAGCCCATTCAATCCCACAGAGACACCTGTTTCACCCCTCCCACAACCACCCACCCACAGGAAGGAGAATTTCCTTAATGAAGGCAAGTAAACACAGGCCTGTTTGCCCATAGGAAGGAAGCCTTTATGCACTTTTACCCAGATTGAGTCGGAGAAAACCATGTCAGGAAAAAGGGCACACCCTAGCCGACTCACAGAAGTAACATTTGCATGTCACAGGCTTCACCCCAGCAAGCCAACACACAGGTGCATAATCTCTGGGCCAGGCAACCAGAGCAAATTTGCCTCCATAATCTTCAGAGCTCCACCTTCCTTCCTTCATCGTCTCTTGAGCTTGCTTCCGAAGACATAAGCCTGTTAGACATAAGTGACCAGGATCTGGGAAAGGCACACCAAACACCATTATTTATTGAATGCCCTCAGTGCATTGGCCTCAAACCAAATGCAGAATTACATTACTGTTCCTGACCAGTTGGTTCACATTTTAAACAAATAAATAGGCAGGCAGAGGTGAACTAAATAGAAAGGAAGGTGGAAATATACTCCAGGGAGAGGCCGGTGCTGGGGAGGAGAAACCAGTCAGAGCCTGTCATTTTCAGAGCTTAAGTAGGACAGGATCTCAAAATATTTCATATCCAGCTCCATGTTTTTGATCAGCCAGAAGGAGGGCAAATTTGGTTGAGAGTAGGAGAAAAGATGAACCCAACACTTAAGTCCTCAATGTTGGTTCATTCTTTCCTGATTGTTTCTATCTTTGGGCCACTATTGTGTCTTACCTGTGCTTCTGAGTAGGACATGGCCAATGTACTTTGTTACAAAGTAACAAAGCAATTATTTGTCTCCTTTCTATCTCTTCTAATGGATCATGAGCTCAGTGAGGGCAAGGATTTTGTCTTCCTTATCTCTGAATGTCTAAAGCCTGATCAATCAATGCTTGTTGAATACACATATGACACCCCAACCCCTAAAGCCATGTAACAGGGTAAAGATGAGTGCAATTGGGTCTCAAATTAGAACAGGGGCCAGGATTTGAGGTGTTCAAGAAATTTAACATAGAGGTGACTCGATTTGAATGGCTGACAACTTTCTTAAATATGCGAGTTTGACGCCACTGGGATTTTGAGATGATGGGATTAAGCGGGTTGGGAGGAGGCAATGGGTCAGGATTAGGAATACGCTCATGGTTCTTGGGGAACAGTGAGTGGACCAGTGTGGCAGAATGAGGCCATTGTGTGAAAGGACAAAGCTGTTTGAAATTTAAACTTTTGGCAATGAGAAACCACTGAAGCCATTTAAGCGAAGCTATACAGAGATAAAAGGAAAACTCAAAAGAACCGAGTCCAGGTAATAGGTTAGAGCATGAGGTGCCAGGAACAAGGGCTCTATGAAGGAATGGAAGGCAATAGCCCATGAGTGTGTAATAAAATGCTATCTGGGTGGGGCAGAAGGGCTGGGGGAATACGTGTGAGGATTCTGCAGTATTTATGGGGGAGGGGAGATCTGAGATTAAGGTATCATTTGTATCCAGAGTTTTCTCTTTGAGGTTAAAAGAATGATGACTAAACTCCTTATTGGATGTTTGCTGTATGCCAGTCACTGTTCTAGGCATTTCACAAACTAGCTCAATTCATCCACAGAACACCCCTTTGTAGTATTATTATTGGCCCACTTCACAGATAAACTGAGGCACAGAGAGATTAAGGCACTTGCCCAACGTCATACAGTTATAAAACAGAGAGCCAGGATTCAGACCAGGATGTAAGGCTGCCCAGGCCCAAATCTTAACCACAAATACCTGCTTTGGCAGGTTCAAGGGAAGATTTAAAACATGATGAAAGAGGTTCTAAACAGTGATGTGTTATCATTTTGGAAAGAGACCAGAAAAGCATTTCCTGCATCCATTTTTCTATCATTATGATGAATTGCCTACTCTAGTTTAAGGTGATCAGTATACAGTAAATTTAAAAATCTGTAATAGGATAATATGTTTTTTATTTTGCCTTTTAAACATTGATTTTTCTCATTTAAAAATTAATATTTATTGTAAGAATTCAAATCTTACAGAAATAACAAATACAGAGAGTGAATATCCCATGTAATCCTAATTATCCCCTACCCCCAAATCATTATTTACTATTAGGTAGAAATTCCTCCAGCTGTTTTCTTTCTTTCTTTTTTTTTTTTTCTGAGATGGAGTTTTGCTCTTGTTGCCTAGGCTGGAGTGCAATGGCACGATCTCAGCTCAGTCCATCCTCTGCCTCCTGGGTTCAAGCTATTCTCCTGCTTTAGCCTCCGAAGTAGCTGGGATTACAAGCAAGCACTACCACACCTGGCTAATTTTGTATTTTCAGTAGAGACAAGTTTCACCATGTTGGTCAGGCTGGTCTCAAACTCATGACCTCAGGTGATCTGCCTGCCTCGGCCTCCCAAAGTGGTGGGATTACAGGCATGAGCCACTGTACCTGACTTACCTTTTTTCTTTTATATAGGCTGCTGTATTACCATCATTTATGTCAATAGTAATCCTTTTTCTCCAAAGGTGATTATACGGTTTTATAACAATGCTTTTTCATTTAATAAATAGGATACATTTCCATGTCAGGACATACAGGTTTTCTTTTTAATTGAAACATAATAATTACATATATTTAAGGTGCATAATGTGATGATTTGCTATATGTATACACTGTGTAATAAGGAAATCAGGGTAATAGCAAGGATATACAGCTTTGTATTATTTCCTTTAAAAGTTGTATAGAACTCACTTTCACTTTCAGCATCACTCCATCTGGATTCACATTCTTTTCCGATCACCAGAGCAACAGGTTTGATGTGACCTAGATTCTTACCTCAATGCCACGTTTGTTCCTTTTGTGTCTTGAACAGGACTCAAGGAAAAGCAAGTTCAAATGGTGCTCAGTTTTCTGTTTCTGTGAAAACAATAGAAGCTAACATTTATCTAGTACTTATTACGAGCCAGCAACTATTCCTAGCTCCATTGTACAGATGAGGAGACTGAGGCCTAGAGAGATTAAGTAATTTACTTGCTCAGGGTCATACAGTTAGAAAGTCAGAACCTGAACCCTGGCTGTTTGACGCCAAAGCCTGTATATTTAGCACCACACTATCTTTTTATCTCTTTTACAAGTCTTCTACCTAAATTAATTAGTATGAAGTGGCTTCCATAGCATTATGTGGTCAACCATAGTGTAAAAGTTAGTCAATAAAGATAAGCCCTACCACTTCTCTCTGTGGTGCATCTAGCAGCAGAAAGTGGGGAGTTGAGTTGTCTGAAGGAGCAGCTTCCTTTCTGCTGCCTCTCTCTCCAGCCTCTCTCCACCGGTCACTATTAGCCTCAAGTGTGACCCTCAACATCCCCAGAGGATGCCTCCTAGGACTCAAACCTCATTTAGTGTCTCTCCTGCTGATGGACGCCATGAGTGGAGTTGTTGGAGGTTCTTTGGGTGACATGGTGGTCCCCACGTCCCAGTTGGGCAACACGATGGCCACAGAAAGGCCGTGTCTATCGACCCAGCACAACAAGTGCAGAAATTTCCAAAGAGCCTGTGTAAGTAGATGAGCGTAGAAAAATAATCCTGGGGGAGCATCCTTAAAAGGAGTGTTTTGTTTGTCTGAATAAACTAGACTGCTTTAACATACTGCCTCTTTTAATGAACTAAAGTAATTATCTCCTTTGCTATGTGCTAGGAAAGCCAACACAAAGACGTAAGAAAAATCCCACAGTCCTAGATTCCTAAAACCATCCACATTTGATCCCATTCTTAAGATATCTCATTATAAATATGCCAGTATTCCAAAAGCTGGAAAAATCCCAAATTCAAAACGCTTTGCTTCCAGGCATTTCAGATAAGAGTTACTTAGCCTGCCTCACACTCCCCGGGATAGGCAGCTTCATAGAACATTGGGGTGAGAAGGGATCAAAGATTTAAGAAGCTCCATTTCTTCTCTGAACCATTTTCCAGCAGTCCCTCAAAGTGGGCAGCTAGCTTTGGTCTGAACACAGTCAAGGAAAGTGAACTCACTAAGTAGGAAAGAGACTATTTCATTTTCAGAACTTGTTAAATTGCAACAGTGTTCTTCTTTATGGTAACTCCATATCTGCTGTCCCAAAACTTCAATTCTTTCATCCTTCTGAGACCAAATGGAAAACATCAAATGGTTTTTACACTTTACCACCTTCCAATTTTTAAGAATAGTCAAAATTTCCTTGCCAAATTGTCTCTTTTCCAGGTTAAGGTCTTTGATTCAATCTTCACCTATTATTCCCATGTCATGATCTAGCATTTTGGATGGTTATGGTCCCTCTTCTTTCATATGCCCTAAATTGTCCATGTTGCTTCAGACTGTGGCATTTAACACGTAACACAGTACTTCAGGGAAGACTAGATAAAGACAACCACTTGCCTTGCTCATCATGGTCTTCTTCTATTAGGTGTGCTAAGCTTAAGATTTCATCCAATTCTTCAAAAGCAGGGGAAATTAAGGAACTTTATTCTGGAAAGTTTGTAAAGAAATCAACCCGTCATGGAATGGCTATTGTGAAAAACACACAAAAAAACACATATTGGCCAACAGGCAGAGAAAAGGCAACTCTTATATAGAAAATCGTGTGGCGATTTCTCTAAAAACTGAAAATAGAACTACCCTTGCACCTAGCCATCCTACTACTGGGTATCTATCCAAAGGAAAAGAAATAAGTATATCAAAAGGATACCTGCACTTGCATTTTGAGCACTATTCACAATAGCAAGATATGGAATCAACCTAAGTGTTCATCAGCAGACAAATGGGTAAAGAAAATGTGGTATCTATACACAGTGGAATACTATTTGGCCATAAAAAAGAATGAAATCATTTCATTTGCAGCAACATGGATGGAACTGGAGGTTTTTAATATTAAGTGAAATAAGCCAGGTACAGAAAGACAAATATCACATGTTTTCACTCATATGTGGGTGCTAAAGAAGTCGATCCTGTGGAGGTAGAGAGTAGTAGAGTGTTAGATATTAAAGGCCGGGAAGGGTAACTTGGGTGGATGGTGGTGATGAAGAGAGGTTAGTTAATGGGTACAAACATACTGTTAAAGGAATAAGTTCTAACGTTTGACAGCAGAGTAGGGTGACTATGGTTCAAAACAATGTATTGTATATTTCAAAGTAGCTAGAAAAGAAGACTTGAAAAGTTTCCAGAACACATAGAAATGATGAATACTCCAGGTGATAGATACTGTAAATACTCCAACTTAATGATTACACATTCTATACATGTAACAAAATATCATGTGTACCCCATAACTATGTACAGATATTATGTATTAATAAAAATGAATAAATAGAAATCAACTTGTCAAGTTATTTTTCTTCAAATAATAATACAGGAAGCCAGGTGCAGTGGATCATACCTGTAATCCCAGCACTTCAAGAGGCCAAGGCAGGCAGATCACTTGAGTCTAGGAGTTCAAGACCAGCTTAGGCAACATGGTGAAACCCCATCTCTACAGAAAAATACAAAAATTATCTGGGTATGATGATGTATACCTACAGTCCCAGCTGCTTGGGAGGCTGAGGTGGAAGGATTGCTTGAGCCCTGGAGGTTGAGGCTGTGGTCAACCGTGATCATGCACAGCTGCACTCCAACCTGGGTGACACAGCTAGACTCTGTCTCAAATAATAATAATAATACAGAAAAAACTATGGACCTAGATATTTCATTTTGTGTACTGTAGTATCTTTCTTACATATGATTTTTTGTAATAATATTTATCCATGGTCTCATCTGTAAGATAGGAATTGTGTAAAAAATTGCAGGCCATGCACAGTGGCTCATACCTGTGGTCCCAGCACTTTGGAAGGCCGATTCAGGAGGCTCACTTGAGACCAGGAGTTCAAGACCACCCTGTGCAACATGGTGAGACCCTGTCTCTACAAAAAATTTAAAAATTAGCCAGGCATGGTAGTGTGTGCCTGTCGTCCCAGCCACTGAGGAGGCTGAGATGGGAGGATTGCTTGAGCCCAGGAAGTTGAGGCTGCAGTGAGCTATGAGCATACCACTGCACTCTAGCCTTGCTGACAGAGTGAGACCCTATCTTTAAAAAAAGAAAGAAAGAAAAACCGAATGCTTAACTTTCCATAAGTGTCTGAGTAATAATCCCTGTGGTAACAAATATTGTGGCTTCTTAAAAGTAAGAGATGAAATATTGTAGAGTATTTCTTTATGCCAGTGATTCTTTGAAATGGTTGGTTAAGCTGTTAAAGACCTGAGGTTTTTTTAGCAGCCACCTCCTCACCTCACTCTTTACTGCCACCTTGATAGTGTCATGTTTATATGAATTTGTTCAGATTGCCTTGAAAGAGCTCACTCCTTCCCTCCTCCACTGAGGATTCAGGTACCTACTCCAGATCCAAATTAGTTTTTGTATCACTAGAAAAAAAAGTAATAGAGTAGATCTATCTCAAAAGGCTTTCTTTGATTAGAAACTGTGACCATGTACATGTAAGACTTGATTATAATTTTAGACTTACATGGAGAAATTACTGCTAGAATATACAAGGCAATATGTGGATATATGAAGGTGGAAAAATACATGAGATGTCCTTACATCATTTTCTAAAAAGCATATGATTGGGAGTGCTGTATAGGAGAGTATCACAGAAAATTATCACATATAGGAAACTATTGTCAAAATTAACAGTGCCCCTCTGCCATTGACTAAATAAAAAAAGAAGGACAAAATTCTTTAAGACAAATAAACTTTAAGGCCGAGCGTGGTGGCTCATACCTGTAATCCCAGCACTTTGGGAGGACAAGATGGGAGGATCATCTGAAGTCGGGAGTTCGAGACCAGCCTGACCAACATGAAGAAACCTTGTCTCTACTAAAAATACCAAATTAGCCAGGCATGGTGGTGCGCAACTGTAGTCCAAGCTACTCGGGAGGCTGAGGCAGGAGAATCGGTTGAACCCAGGAGGCGGAGGTTGCAGTGAGCCGGGATCACGCCATTGCACTCCAGCCTGGGTGACAGAGCGAGACACCGTCTCAAATTAAAAAAAAGACAAATAAACTTTAAATAAAGTCCACTAATTATAGCAGGGAATGTGTTGGATAAGAGTAGGTATATGTAATTATATAGTAATTATGTTGAAAATGTAATCACATGCCACCAGCTAGCTAGTTAACCATTTTGCTGGGGGATGAATCTGCCCCCAGCAACCACCTCCTTCTGATCTCAGAGACCCACATTGACTTTGTTAGAATGTGTGATATGGTTTCTTCTTAGAAGGCTGACCTTTTCTTGGCCAATTAAAAGGTGCTGCTTTGAGGATACTGGAATCCACACTCAAAGGGATAAAAGGAAATTGAAACTTCTATTAAAAGGAGCTAATGATGCCTAGAGCGGTTGGGATTAAAAAAGAACAAAGTCAGCCTTAAAAAGATCCCCCAAATCAAAGAACTGCTTCTCTCATCAAATACCAGAAGACAGCAAAATAATTTTTAATGAAAAGTGGTGCAATGGACTCAGCCTTTTCCTTGGATCCTGGGGCTTCAATCAAAACCACTGAAAAGTTTTGAGCAAAATTCTTTGAACTTTTGGGAGAATTATGCTACATAAATTTGACATGGTGTTGTAAAAGGTAAACTAGCTTTCCTCCCAAATTAGATAGTCAAGAAAAGTATCAGAAGGGTAACTGAAAAATCATACATATAAGAGTGCTTTATAATTGATTCCCTGTCTGACACAAAATAATTCCTGAGTGAAAATCGAGCTTTTGATGATAGACGTGTAGGGAATCACTGTCAAAGTTGTCCTGTGGTGGACAATTATTAGGTGATTGCTGTGATTGTAATTAGCACAACCTTGGTAGGTTGTGCATTCCTTAATACACATTATTATCATAGTCTGTATTAGTCTACTCGGGCAGCCATAACAACATACCACAGACCACGTGGCTTAAAGAACAGAAATGTATTTTGGACAGTTCTGGCAGCTGTAAAGTCCAAGATCAAGGTTCTTGTATGATTCAGTTTCTGGTGAGGGCACTCTTCCTGGCTCGCAGGTGGCTTCCTTCTCATTATGTTCTCACATAGCATTTCCTAGGTGGATATGCTTGGAGAGAGTTAGAAAATGAACTCTCCAATGTCTCTACGTATGAGGATACTAATCCTGTCTGATCAGCACCCTATCTTTAAGACCTCATCTTCAATTACAGCCATAGTGAGAGTTAGGGCTTCAACATGATAATTTGGAGGGTACATAAACATTTAGTCTAGCAAATCAAAACTATAATGAGATAGCTCACCCCAGTTAAAACAGCTTATATTCAAAAGACAGGCAATGACAAATGCTGGCAAGGATGTAGAGAAAAGGGAATCCTCATACACTGTTGGTGGGAATGTAAATTAGTACAACCACTATGGAGAACAGTTTGGAGCCTTCTCAACAAAATAAAAATAGATCACGGCTGGACGCGGTGGCTCACGCCTATAATCCCAGCACTTTGGGAGGCCGAGGCGGGTGGATCACGAGGTCAAGAGATCAAGACCATCCTGGTCAACAAGGTGAAACCCCGTCTCTACTAAAAATACAAAAAATTAGCTGGGCATGATGGTGCGTGCCTGTAGTCCCAGCTACTCGGGAGGCTGAGGCAGAAGAATTGCTCGAACCCAGGAGACGGAGGTTGCGGTGAGCCGAGATGGTGCCATTGCACTCCAGTCTGGGTAACAACAGCGAAATTCCATCTCAAAAAAAAAAAAAAAAAAGAATAAAAAGAGATCTACCATATGAACCAGCAATCCCACTGCAGGGTATATACTCCAAAGAAAGGAAATCAGTACATCAAAGAGGTATCCGCACTCCTGTGTTTGTTGCAACATTCTTTACAATAGCTGAGATTCTGAAGCAACTCAATTGTCCATCAACAGATGAATGGATAAAGAAAATGTACTATTTAGCCATAAAAAGTATTAGAACCAGTCATTTGCAACATGAATGGAACTGGAGATCATTATGTTGAGTGAAATAAGCCAGGCACAGAAAGACAACATTGTATGTTCTCACTTATTTGTGGGATCTAAAAATCAAAACAACTGAGCTCATGGACATAGAGAGTAGAAGGAAGCTGCCACAGGCTGGGAAGGGTAGTGCTGGGCTGGGTGGGAAGGTGATGATAGTGGGTAAAACAAATGGTTAAAGGGTAAAAACAAAATGGAAAGAATGAATAAGACCTACTATTTGAAAGTACAACAGGGTGACTATAGTCAATAATAACTTAATTGTATATTTTAAAATAACCTAGAGTGTAATTGGATTATTTGTAACTCAAAGGAAAGATGCTTGAGAGGATGGATACCCAATTCTCCATGATGTGGTTGTTTCACATTGCATGCCTATCAACACATCTCATGTACCCCATAAATATATATACCTACTATATACTCCCAAAAAATAAAAATATATTTTTAAAAAAACCATTTAGTCCATACCAGGCTGGGCATGGTGGCTCACACCTATAATCCCAGCACTTTGGGAGTCCGAGGCAGGTGGATCACAAGGTTAGGAGATGGAGACCATACTGGCAAAGAGGGTGAAACCCGTCTCTACTAAAAATACAACAACAACAAAAAAATTGGCTGGGTGTGGTGGCACACACCTGTAGTTGCAGCTACTTGGGAGGCTAAGTCAGGAGAATCGCTTCAACCTGGGAGGTGGAGGTTGCAGTGGGTCAAGATCATGCCACTGCACTCCAGCCTGGGTGACAGAGCGAGACTCTGTCTCAAAACAAACAAGCAAAACAAAACCAAAAAACCAACACCATCTACTCCATACCACCATCTAACAATAAGCAAGAAAGAAGTCAGGGAATTCCTGGGCTGGTCAAGGGGCTGGGTTTCCTGCCACACTTGCATATCAATGGCTAATGTCTTTGCCACTTAGAGGATAGTTGGGAGGGTGGCTGGCAAGCACTCAGGAAACCTAAAAGCAAGCTAGTGCTGTATTTTCTATTTGTTTGAATTATAAATGAATTAATTGTCCAAACCAAAGAACACAACCAGTAGAAGCCTCCTCCTTACAAATTTGCTTGAACTCCCTCAAGATATGTTTAATGGCAATGTAACCAACGGGAAATTCTCTGTCATAAACCATCAGTTTTGAACATGAGTCATCTATCCAGCAAATCGGAGTATTGGCAAAGGAAGCATCATGGCGTCCAGCTTTATTGCCCCTGCACTTCAACCTGCTGTGGTTTTAATGGTGGCTAAAAATCATTATTTTAGGATTGAAAATCTTTTCTAGAAAGTTGGTCATTCCTATTTATACTGGGACTCAAGGCTACCTTAAGGGGCCCAGGATGCCTCGTCTCAGCTTGGAAATTCTAGAATGAGTTATGTGTTCTAGGATGATTTAAGTGTTAAATTCAATTCCAAAAAAGGACACAACCATTTCTGGGCTCATATGTATTAGGCTGAGGCAAACTCACCCAATGTTGGCAGTTGGTTTGGGGGTTTAATAATTTGAGCTAGATAAAGAAAAAGGGAGTTGTTGAGACAAGAAAATGGCTCTTCTCAAAAGTAAAAGACATCTGGACTGATAAGAGGGCAACTGAGCGAGGAGCTAAAGATAACCAAGAGAAACTGATCATAAATTTGCCTCAAGGTTCAGACAGGGGGCCATGCAGTTGAATTATAGGCAGGGGTCATGGTGGCAGCTTTAGAACTTGTGTCCTGATTCTGATGCCTCTAGGCAGCCTCCTTCATCATGCTTCCATCTCCAAACATCGGAAGGTTGAATATGCGTGTATGAAAAGAATTCCCAGTATAAACATGTATTATAGGTTACGCATAGTTGATGGGACTATGAAGTCCTTGAGAGGTAGCTCAGCCTGTGTCCCATATCACAGGCTCCTGCCTTAACTGTGCTGTGTCAACTGGCCAATAAAACTCATGCAACAGCATAAAAGTTTAATTTTTATATTTCCTTATGATCCCAGGGAGGCCAGGCCTTCCTGGAGAGGGTATTCCAGGCTATGAGTTCATGCAAGCAAGACATGTAAGAGATATACTTGAGTCTCTCTCTTTGTGTGTGTGTGTGTGTGTGTGTGTATTTGCATGGCATATATATGTGTGTGTGTATATATATATACACACACAGATATAAAACATATATATATATATATATATATATATATATATATATATACTCAAAAAACACTAGCTGGTGAGCTAATATATGTTTTCCCTTATGATCTAGGCATTCTAGCTGGTTGTTGAGGGATGTTGACCTGGAGCAGAAATATCATGGTATGTTGAGAGAGGAGATGGGAGGAGAGGGTTATGCATCATATTCCATTGATTCTGAGTAGGACTTTTGCAATATTTACAGTCTGACTTCAAAGCTATAACTGCTCTCTCATGTCTGATGCTATGAAATGAGCTCATCTTATGCAGAATTGCTCAATAAACTTAAAGAAGCATGCCATACAATTATATGGTTTATATTGAGTATGATAATCATTTCTGCCACTAGTACCACTAAGCTGTCAGGGTTAGGAATCCTGTATTGAGTTCTTCCATGTGCCAGATCTCGTTCTAGATGAGGATTTTTCAGCCATGGCACTATTACTTTTCAAGGCTGGATAGTTCTTTGTTGTTGGGGGCTGTCCTGGGTATTGGAGGATGCCTAGTAGCATCTCTGGCCTTTACCTACTAAAGGTAGAAGCATAGCCCCCTCCCCCAATTGTGGCAACTCAGGTGTCTCCAGACACTGCAGGATGTCCTCTGGGAGCAAAATTCCCTCTGGTTGAGAGACAGCATTCTAGATATATGACATGTTGCATGACATGTGGCATAGGCAAAAACCATGAACTGCAATGTCACATTCTTGTCTTCACTTCTTCATTCATTTTATTTAATTACTTAGGTTTTTTTTTTTGAAACAGAGTTTCACTTTGTCAGCCAGGCTGCAGTGCAGTGGCATGATCTCGGCTTACTGCAACCTCCGCCTCCTGGGCTCACGGGGTCCTCCCACCTCAACCTCCCGATTACCTGGGACTACAGGGGCATGCTACCACACCTGGCTAATTTTCGTGTTTTCAATAAAGACAGGGTTTCTCCATGTTGCCCAGGCTGGTCTCAGACTCCCAGACTCAAGCAATCTGCCCACCTCAGCCTCCCAAAGTGCTGGGCCTACGACTCAGCTGAGTCATCATGCCCAGCTCATTCATTTGATTTATTGAGCCTTTACAACATGCCACGAACTGTGCTGAGTGATGGGAATACAAAGATGAGTAAGGCATGGTTTTTGCCTTAAGTAGAAGACTCTAGTAATGGAGAAAACTCATACATAGATAAATTACCAATCAAGTGGTAAATGTATTACAAAACAGTCATGATTACAGGCTTGAGTAGAGAGCTCCTGACCCAGTTGGGCAGTAGAAGCTGGAGGCATCAAGAGAGGCTTTTCTGAGTTGCGTGGCCTGAGTTAAGTCTTTATATGGGTGGAGGAGGTGAGGACACTGAAGCAGAGGCATAATTCAGTGTTGCAGAGTTACTGTTGAAACACAGGTGAAAAAGCCTGGTGTGTGTCGAGTGTTGGGAAGGGAACGTTAAAAGTCTGCAGAGGTAGACAGATGACTTTGTCTGGCGTTCTGAGAGTTTGTACTTTATTTTAATGGTGGGGAGCCACTGAGGGGCTTCAGGTAAAGAAGTGACATGCTTTTGTTTAAACCGGTTGTTTTGGCAGCCTCCACCTGCTGGACTCAAGGGATCCTCCCACCTCAGCCTCCCAAGTAGCTGGGACTGCAAGTGCATGCTACCACACCTGGCTAAGTTTTGTATTTTTTGTAGAGATGAGGTTTCACCATGTTGCCCAGGCTTCTATGTGGAGAATGTATTCAAGGAGCACAAGAGTGAAAGCAGGGAGACTATTTAGAAGGCCAAGAGGTAATGAGGGCTCGAACTAGGCCAATGGGAATTAGGGGAGAGGATTTGAGAAATATTTCAGAGATAAAACAGCATGATTTAGTGACTCTTTTGATATAGGAGATGAGGAACAGGCAGAAGGTTCAGGGATGATTGATTCTCACAGTTGTCACTGGGTGCCACTGTCATTGTCTATCCTATAGGAAATATAGAGTGAGGGTAATGATTGTATTATGTTATCATGTTAATTTATTATTCCTATTGTGCAAATGATAAAATTGAGGCTCAAAGGGGAAAGGGCTTAGCCCAAAGTCACACAGCTATTGAGTAGAGAAGCCAGGATTTGAGATCTGTTTGACTATCTGACTTCCAGTCCGTCAAGCCATGTGGCTTTGGGTAAGTGTGGATTAAAGTGGTGAAAATGAATCATTCAGAAAGTAGTCGACTTGCTTACTGTTGGCCTTTATGCTTGGCAGGTGCTCAGTATTTGTTGAAGAAAGGAATGATTTTAATGAAAATTATACTAATATATTTACATATCATTTTCATGTATTTCAAATTAGAATGCATGAGGGGAAAAATAAACAGCTTATCCAATATTACATGCAAATATCCCCCACCTGAGCACAGCTTTAGTCTCTTCGCAGGTTCCTGTAGCTACAGGTGAAGTCTCGAGGTCCCACAGTCCATTGTTCTGCCTCTTTGTTTAATCACTCACCATGTTCTCTTCAGACAGAGCTAAGGACACAGATAGAGCAAATACTTGTTAAATGATTCAGTCATTTATATATTTTTAGCCTCACCATTACATTCTGGGTCAATAAAAGGACCTTCAGTCCTATTGTCATTTCTATCCAGATATATCAAATGTGACCAAGACCAAGAAAGACTGTTGGGCAGGAAAAAAGGGAGAAATGTCACTGGGCTAAAGGTGGAAACTTGTGGATATTGTTAAAATAAACACAAAGAAATTCCTGTGTTACTTCTCTCTAGGGTTGCTCCCTTAACCTTTCTGTCTCCAAGTCCAGACTTCAAAGCTCCAAGAAAAAAACAAGATACAACAGTGTAGGATTAGCTGCCAATTTACTAATATTTTAAGTAAGTGTCCAAAAAGGCCAGTTAAGCCTGTCTGACAGCAGTGACAGTTCTCGTCGTCAGAAATTTCAAGAATGATTATAGCCTGTGACCTGCGACGGCTCCAAAGACTGTAGGAATTGCCAGGGAATGTCACTGATATATATCTCTCAGGATCACCTTCCTTCTCACTGCTGGGAGAGTGAGTTCTGGTCTTGGATAGAAAAGGATTCCCAGTACCCCAGTTATATAGCTGCTTACATCTGTTATCTGTGCATGTGAGGTTTTATATTAGACGAGAAAGTAGACAGTCAGTCACAATTTTGTTTTCATGAAATTTGAGACTCATATGGACCATTCTGCTATGGCCTGCTCTTACCCTGCTGTATCAGAGATTGCTTGGTCTAGAGTCAGGGACTCGGGCCTGGTGAGTGCACCAGGACAGCTGGCAAGGAGTTCCTCATTTTTTATTCCTTCTGCTCCTGCTTCAGTTCCAGCTACAAGGAAGCTCATGGAAATATTTTTAGTGCATTTGTTGTTACCAGGGCCCCCTCACCATTCCCAAGACAAGGCTTGACTTTCCATCCCATAGTGTAAGCAGAATTTTGTACTGTGGTTCTTCACAGGAATTACTGCTTGGCAGAAGGTTATTAATAATAATAGTTCACACCCAGCCCAATTTAAAAAATCAGATTGCTCCTCAAAAAAAGTCTTCTCTGGGCTGGGCGCGGTGGCTCCAGCCTCTAATCCCAGCACTTTGGGAGAATGTGGCGGGTGGATCACGAGGTCAAGAGATCGAGACCATCCTGGTCAACATGGTGAAACCCTGTCTCTACTAAAAATACAAAAAATCAGCTGGGCATGGTGGCACGTGCCTGTAATCCCAGCTACTCAGGAGGCTGAGGCAGGAGAATTGCCTGAACCCAGGAGGCGGAGGTTGCGGTGAGCCGAGATCGCGCCATTGCACTCCAGCCTGGATAACAAGAGCGAAACTCCGTCTTAAAAAAAAAAAAAAAAAGCCTTCTCTGAAGTTAAATTACAGGTATTTAATGTATAATGTTTCTCCACTTCTTACCTAGACACTGGATATTCCTCCATGTTAAATGCCCTTGAACTATATTTTTCTTTGCCTGCCATATTTTATTCACTCTTCGTATCTCAGTGTCAATGTTACTTGCTTTTTAGACCCTTTCTAACTCTCACTGAGTTGCACAGCACGTGGCAAAAGCTGTTCTCACTCAATTGTAATATAATTGTCTGTTAAAGACCTTAAACTTTTGAGACTGGAGATGGTTTGCATTCATTGTAGTATCTCCAGTGAGGCACATGCAGTGGGATGTCAAAGAAGGCTTGAACTGAATGGGCGCATATCCTAACAGGGTTTTGCAGGCCAGTAGACCTGGATCTGCACCAATGTTCTGTCTCTTACCATCACTTATTCTTGCTGAACCCGTATGAAAAATGGAAATAATCATCTTACCTTCAAGAGTTGTGAAAAGTCAAACCCAGTTCCTGGCACGAAGTTGGTGCTCAATACATATACATATTCATTTGATCATTATGCTAGTTTGAGCATTCAAGGTTCTTTCCAAAACAGTCATGCACGGCCATTGATAGATGATGAGAAGTCTTAATCTACGTATCAACAAATTTTCTAAAATAATTTTGAACATTGTGAGAGCCAGGGTGAAAGAAACACAGTATTTGAATTTAAAAGACCTGGTTTGATTCATTTTGTGACCTTTCCTCCTGTTAAGTGACATATACACTCATTTATAGCCATCAATGATATTCAAAGCTATTTGCCTTAATGTGTCCCTGAATATGCCTGTTCATTACTAGCTCTAAAAATTTTAAGTGGAATATCAATTACTTATTTATCATTGTTTTCTTTTGGTTCAAAGTGTGCTTTGTTCTCCTAAAGTTCCGAAATAGTGAGGGTGCTGCTGTTGGGGGGCACAGGGCTGGGGGGCAGAGGGCGGGGAGGTGGCGGTAGGAGTTGAGGTTTGGTTTCTGTGGTGCAACAGTGACATCCATTGGCCTGCCTGTTAATGCTATCTATAGAAAAAACCTGCTTCTCTGCTCTGCGACTGTTGGATTTTCTGATATAAAGATACAAAGAGAACAAACTGTCTCTGGGCCCATGTAAGACAAGCCAGTGATCAACAGCTGGTCCCCTGAAGACTGGGCTGGTTTCAGGACTCTTCCAAAGGATACATGTTCTAAGATCAGCACCAGCTGGGTGTTGCCTTCTGGTCATTTGGAGACAATCCTGGAACTGGTCCTCTCCGTGGAGTGTAGTACATTCATTAGGCTGTTGGGAAACCATTGGATTGAGCTCTAGATGTGCTATTGAATGCATAAGCCAGGGCAAATCACTTTGCCACTGGACTTTTCCAGACTGACAAAGTGAAGTTGATAGCAATACCAGCTTTGTAGTTACCAAAGGGATTTTCCATACATTTTATAATAACTTCCCACAACAATTGTGAAAATTAGGAAAGTACAGATCAGACCTGCTCAGCATCCAACTGACTGTGAGGATGTGAAGCTGAACACCAAATCCCAGGGTTTCAAACCTCAAGCCTTGGTGACTTATATTTGCTGCTCTAGTTGGAATTAACTAAATAATTACAGAAATTCCTGCTTCCTTTCTGGAAACCCCCAGGAGAGGTTCTAAAAATGGAAAATCAAAGGAAAGTCTATGTGGCTGGATGTGAGAGATTGAGCAATGAGTCAGCATCTTTAAGTAGAAATAGATTTGCATTGCTGGCTGTCATCTCCATAAAGAACATAACAGGAAATAGCAAGACTAAAAATAATTATTTTCGCCTACTATGTGTCAGATACTCTGTTAAGCATTAAGATTGGAGGATAAAATAGACAAACTGTTTCATACCGTCCAGAGCCTCACTGTCAAGTGAGGGATACAGAGTAGGAACAGTGACTCATATGTCATAGTGTGGTAAGTGTTACATCAAGCATTCCTGCAGGATGCTACCCTTCCAAAGCCCCGTGTGTGTATGTGTGTGTGTGTGTGTGTGTGTGCCCACTTGTGTGCTTGGTAGGATCCTAGTAGTGACTACCATAGGTACCTTTGGATAGATGATAAACAGGTGAATAGTGTCAGTTCAACTGGAAGCCAAAATAGCAAACTTTTTTCAATATCAAAACCAAGTAGTTTGCAAAACTGACACATCAGATACGTAACACATACAAAAAGAAAACCCAAAGATTCAATTGCACTTTGTATCATTTCATAGTAAATCTTTTTTTGGAAACAATTAGGGAATTTGTAACTAATTATTGTAAAATCCACCACTGACTCACTGGTAAAGCCTTTTCAAATCACTGTTATGATTAAACAAGCCAAAAAAAAAATGGCTAATCTAAAAATGGATCTCATTCAGATCCCATTCTTCCTTCTCGGTTGGCCCTCTAGCAGGAAAGCTTGGTTCTGGTGTCCCCTCTGATTAAATGATCTCATTGGAACCCTCATTGTGAATACTCCAGGCCCATCCTTCAGCCACCTCTCCTCTCCCTCGAAGCAGCTTCCGATGTAAACGAACTCTTCCTTGCTGCAGAGGCTCAAGAGCATCGATCACTCCCCACTTACAGGCAGAAGTCAACAGCAGACTCCAGGCACCTTGCCAAGAGGGCAGGCCCGGTGACTGAGTTCTTTACTCCCCTACTCCCCCACCACCTAGCCATTTGGACCCCTTTGGAAAAAGTGGCACCCACAGTTTAAAACATCACTTCTCATATTGGTCATTCGGGTTTAGAGCCACATGTTAGACAAACTGAGATTTTAGCCTATAATTGTTGGCTTTCCTTGAAATTCTTACATATATGTAACAACACCAAAGAATAAATCAGGACTCTAGTGATGTTGCCGTGGGCTTTGAGAAGCTTTATTTGTTTATTTATTTATTTATGAGATGGAGTCTCACTCTGTTACCCAGGCTGGAGTGCTATGGCATGATATTGGCTCACTGCAACCTCCGCCTCCCAGGTTCAAACCATTCTCCTGCTTCAGTCTCCAAAGTAGCTGGGACTACAGGTGTGTGCCACCATGCCTGGCTAATTTTTGCATTTTTAGTAGGAATGCAGTTTTGTCATGTTGGCCAGGCTGGTCTGCAACTCCTGACCTCAGGTGATCCACCCTCCCCAGTCTCCCAAAGTGCTGAGATTACAGGTATGAGCCACTGCGCCCTACCTGAGAAGCCTTTTTAACAAAATAAGAAAAAATGAGTTCATTTTGACTGAAGCAACCCATCTAAAATATGCATATGCTAAAGAAACCAAGAATGAAGTTGGGCAGGGGTACTTCAGAGACTGTGCTCAGATGCTGGGTATCACACAGAGGCCACCAGACTCAAGAGTGTGAAGCTAACTGCCCCTCCCCATTTCACACGTACCTCTCACATATGTCAGGGCACTGCCACCCGCCTCTGTGCACCCCAGTCCCCTCCAGAGCCCATCTTGCTTGCAAAGCTCCAGCACCATCAGCATCTTCACCATTCATCTTTTAGCAATTTGTACTTGGGTATAGAATAAATGCACAAGGAGCCCTTTGCAGGACTATCTGGTTAAGTGCATAGAGTGATTTGAGGTCCTCTGTAGAGGTCTCACTGCCCAAAAATCTTTCACCCAACTGCTTAAGATCCCATATCAGTCTATGAGGGGCTCATCCATTTGAGTTAATTCTTACCTTGTCTGTTTTTAAATACCCCTTGGAGAGAATCATCAACACCTCAGTGATAACTAGTCTGTCACATACTGATTGAATTATTATTTTTAAATTTATTTTAATTAATTATTTATTTGCGATGGAGTCTTGCTCTCTTGCCCAGGCTGGAGTGTAATGGCACCATCTCAACTCACTGCAACCTCCGCCTCCCAGGTTCAAGTGATTCTTCTGCCTCAGCCTCCCAAGTAGCTGGGATTACAGATGCCTGCCACCATGCCCAGCTACTTTTTCAATTTTTGGTAGAGAAAGGGTTTCACCATGTTAACCAGGCTGGTCTCAAACTCCTGACCTCAGGTGATCCACCCACCTTGGCCTCCTAAATGCTGGGATTATAGGTATGAGCCACTGCACCTGGCTTGATGAATTATTATTTTTTTATTTGTGGGTGGTTGTTTGTTTTTTTGAGACAGAGTCTCACTCTGTCACCCAGGCTGAAGTGCAGTAGCATGATCGCAGCTCACTACAGCCCTGAACTCCTGGTCTCCAGTGATCCTCCCATCTCAGCTTCTTGAGTAACTGGGACAACTGGCATGTACCACCATAGCCTGCTTACTTTTTTATTTTTTGTAAAGATAGGGTCTCACTGTTACCAAAACTGGTCTTGAACTCTTGGCCTCAAGTGATCCTCCTGCCTCAGTCTCCCAAAGTGCTGGGATTATAAATGTGAGCCACAGCAACTGGCTTAATTTGTTTTTAAAGATATTTTTCTTGAGAGATAATTTATATAAAATGTGTGACTCTTTAGTATTCCAGTTCCATGAATCCTGACAAATGTAGTCACCTGTGTAATCCACATTCTTATCAAACTATAACCCATTTTCATCACCACATAAAGTTTCTTTGTTCCCCTTTCCAGTCCACTCTGCACCCCAGGGCACCTACAGTTCTGATTTATTTCACTAACCAAAGATTAGTTTTTTTCTATCCTAGAAATTCGTTAAATAAAAAGAGTATATAACACAGTATATACTCTTTTTTGTTGGTATTTTTCACTCATTGTAAAGTTTCTGAACTTTATCTGTGTTGTTGCTTGTATTAATAGTTCATTGTTTATCCATTCTCCTACTGATGGACATTTGGACTGTGTCTGGTTTGGGGCTACTATGAATAAAGCTGCTATAGATATTAGTGTACAAGTATTTTTGTAGATGCGTTTTCATTTTTCTTTGGTAAATACCTAAGAGTAAAATGCTAGATCATAGGGTGGCTGTGTGTTTGATTTTCCATACCATTTTCCAAAGGGTGGTACCATTTTGTTCCATAATCTTCCCAACAGTTGGTGCTGGCAATTGTATTGGTTTCTATTGCTGCATAACAAATTATCACAAATGTAGTGTCTTGAAGCAGCATCAATTTATTAGCTCACAATACTCTAGGTCACAGTTGTGCATGGCACCATTGAGTTCTCTACCTAAGGCCTCACAAAGCTGAAATCAAGGTATAGACTGAGCTGGGCTCTTATCTGGAAGCTCTAGGGAAGAGTCTACTTCAAAGCTCATTCTGGTTGCTGGCTGAATTCAGTTTCTTGTGGTTGTAGGATGAATTCCCCGTTGCCTTACTGGCTCTCACCCAGAGCTGCTCTCTAGAGGCAGCCTGCATTTCTTCTCACATGGAACCCCACACACCCATCTTAAAGCCTGCGACACATTGAATCCCCTTGTGCTTTGAATCTCTTTGCCTTCTTCTTCTAGTGCCAGGCGGAGAGTTAAACCTCTGCTTTTTTTTTTTTCTTTTTTTGAGACAGAGTCTCACTCTGTTGTACAGGCTGGAGTGCAGTGGCGCAATCTCAGCTCCCTGCAACCTCCACCTCCTGTTTTCAAGCAATTCTCCTGCCTCAGCCTCCTGAGCAGCTGGGACTACAGGTGTGTGCCACCACACCTGGCTAATTTTTTGTATTTTTAGTAGAGATTGGGTTTCACCATGTTATCCAGGATTGTCTCAATCTCCTGACCTTGTGATCCACCTGCCTTGGCATCCCAAAGTGCTGGGATTACAGTCATGAGCCACTGTGCATGGCAACCTCTGGTTTTTAAAAGGCTCACCTGACTGGGCCAAACCTAATTGGATAATCTCTGTATCTTAAGATTCATTGATTTGGGACTCTAATTGCATCTGCAATTTCCCTTCACAATCAATGTTTGAATAACTAGGGGACAGGAATCTTGGCCATCTTTAGAATTCTGCCTACCATAGCAGTCCACGATGAAGCCCTAAAATCAGCATCACTTTTCATTATCCACTTGCTTAAGAATCCATGTATATTTTTCTTCTAAAGAACCATACCAACTGTAGTTTTAATAATTACACTCCTGTATTTCTAGCTACTTGAGAGGCTGAGGCAGGATGATTGCTTGAGCCTAGAAGCTGGAGACTGCAGTAAGCTGTGATTGCGACACTGTGCTCCATCCTGGGCAACAGAGCAAGACCCTATCTTAAAGAGAGAGAGAGAGAGAGAGAAAGGGAGGGAGGGAGGGAGGGAGGGAGGGAGGGAAGGAAGGAAGGAAGGAAGGAAGGAAGGAAGGAAGGAAGGAAGGAAGGAAGGAAGGAAGGAAGGAAGGAAGGCAAAAGAAAGAAGTTCACAGTGTTGGTTAAAGTCAGCAATGGGCTGAGAGCCATGTCTCTAGATTCCTAGCCTAGAACTGTCTACTACACTCTAATCTGTACTTGCTTCTAGAGAGTGTCTGATCCTATAAGGGATTCTGATGTTGGTAATTTAAATCACCATATAAGTCTCTGAAAATCTAGAAATATTTATTTAAAATAATGCATAGGTATTTCCAAATTTAAATTTTTAAAATTTGGCTAAATCTTTCCACAAAAAGTGTTTTGTCAGCTTGAAACCATCTGGGTAGGGAAGGAGCCCGTGGGTCTGGCACAGGCTTAGATGCTAAGATCTTAGGAGTTCTTGGTTGTGTGCTTGAAATCTCATTCAGCCTGGGCACCCTGCATTTCTCCCTAATAGAGAATAAGTAATCATAAGCCTGACATTCAAGATACTCTCATAAGCCTCTTATTTTTCAAGATGATTCCAGAGAAGTTGGTTGTGAAGTCACACAACCTGCTAAGTAGAGACTAGAATTCAGGTCCCCTTGTTGCTGTACACCAGAGGTAATAACCAGCAGTAAAGCAGCCCAGTCTGTCCGGAAACAGTGCTTTGTTTGGCCCAAAGATTGTTGTTGCTCTTGTTGATTTAGAGATGGGGTCTCACTACGTTGCTCAGGCTGAACTCCTGGGCTAAAGTGATCCTCCTCCTCTCTCAGCCTCCCGAGTAGCTGGGATTATAAGTGTGCACTGCTGTGCAAAGCTTTGGTTTTTAATTGGATTAATTTTCAATATTTAAAAATTGGAAAACTTTACATAAACATCTAGATGTCCAGCAGTTTTCTGAAAAGTTGGGAGCTCAGGTAACAGTGGACCCAGTTTCTGCAGTGTAATAGTTGGATTAGGGTGTTCCTTTAAAGAGGACACGAGGCCTTCGGTGGCCACACTTCCAGCTGGTTCACTTTCCCCACTTACCCTCTTGGTCTCTGTAGGAACTTGAGTCATGACACATGCCTTACCCCAAGCTGTAGTTTTGAGACACCTTGTCTAACTGTTCAAACAATTTCTTATCTGGCCTATACACACAAAGTATGTTTGGCTCTCACTTCCTGGCAGTTGAAAATAATAAACTAGATTTTCAAAGTGGGTGAACTACTTGCTGGCTGTAAGTCTGGCTTCATTAAAAGAATACTTTCTCTGTGGGCCCATAGTCAGTTAGCACATGGAATCCTGGCTGTCAGCATTCATGTAATTTCAAAAAGTATCCCTCTCCTTATGTGCTAGCTTACGCCTCAGAAAGTTCCGACTTTCAGTGAATAAAACAACTAATATTGTGAAGTCAAAGAGTTGGCTTAGAAAAGCCACTTTCTCAGCTAAAGGACTTACTGAACCTGACTTCTTTGGAGACACATCTGTGTAGCCATATGAAATGAATGCAGGCAGTTGTTAATTGATGATTCTTCTTGAGCTTATGCAGCCAGAATCTTTCATTGATTAATAGTTGTGATTCTCAATCTTAGCTGCACATGACAATGGTCTTGGCAGCTTTTAAAAATTATGATGCCTGTGCTACAATTAAAATAGAAATCATGGTGATGACGATGCCTGTGATTCATCCTCAGAATTTTTGATTCAGTTGATTTGAGGTTGGTCCTGGGCCTCTGGGTCTTTTGGCTTTTGCTACTGTTGCATTGTTTTATTGTGGTAAACACACACGCGCGCGCGCATACACTAAATTTGTCATCTTAACCAGTTTTAAGTGTATAGTTCAATAATGTTAAGTATATCAAAGTTATTGTGACATGGGCTTGACAACTTTCTTATCCTGCAAAACTGAAACTCTCTACGCACTAAAAACTCCCCATTTCCCTTTTCCATAACCTCTGGCTGGGCCTTGGTTTTAAAGGTTTCCAGGCGGCCCAGCACAGTGGCTTTTGCCTGTAATCCTAGCACTTTGGGAGGCCGAGGTGGGCGGATCGCTTGAGCCTAGGAGTTTGAAACCAGCCTGGGCAACACAGTGAGACCCCATCTAAAAATATATATATATACGTGTGTGTGTGTGTGTGTGTGTGTGTGTGTGTGTGTGTAAAATAAGGCTTCCAGGTGATTCAGATGTATCTTCAACCTTGAGAACCACTGACTTGGAGGGAAGGATTTCCACCTCAAAGGGGTTCTAAGGCTTTTACAGTTCTTACCGGGGTCTCCACAGCTGCCAATACCATCCACAAATAGGTGGGATGGGTTTTTTATGTACACAATAGTACAGGACTTCTGCCCTTGAGTAAAGTTAGCCTGTGCCTCAGGCCTCCAATTGTGGTACCACCTCAACTCACAACTTGGCTGCAGCTTTGCCTGTGAAATACTCACTCATGCCATGTGGCCTGGCTGAGATTCATGGGTTTTTGATCTCCTATCTCTCTGCCACTGATAGCTGTGTTTAATTTCTTGACGCACCCTCAATACCAGTTAAGGATGGGGAACCTGGGAAGGTGTACCAGGAAGCTGTGGCATTCCAGGAGTTCTTTGGACTTGGACTTAGACTGTCAGAAGAACCAGTCATCTGGAGGAGAGCCCAGAGCCATATGGATTTCCTGCCCCAGCAGTGGTGAAATTCAAGGCTTTGCCAGCAGTGCTGGACTGTTCTGTGGATTTGGCTGCTTTTTGCTACATCTACAACAATTAAAATGGTGTTTTGTGATGTTTGTGGCATTTAAGCTTACTGATTTTATTAACTTGATTCCTGGCACTTTCATCTGTCTCTCATGATCCTGATAGAATAGAAACATTGCTCTGTTCTGGTATTTTCCATGAGCTGCCTAGTTTGTTCATCTGTGGAAAACAGTTGTTTTGAGAAACAGATCCAAGTTGATGGAGCTAGGACCTGGCTTGCATCCTTTTTCTGTAGCATGAAATTCAAAACCTCTCTCTACTCTTGCTGGAGTGCGTCTAATTTTTCTCTCTGCCATCAGGCGTGACATCCTGACCCCATGCCATACCTTCATTCCCTGATAAGCGCTGCCCTGGTAAGTTCCACTGCATCACTACTGACCTACCTGACCTGGCATACTACAGAAATCTTTAAGTGCTAAACACTTTTATCACAAAACCAAACAAGAACAAGACTGGGTCACCTTTGGGACCCCTATGGATTACTGGGAAAAAAGAAATTTTTATGAGGAAAATTTGGGGCTGAAGTATTTGTTGACTTATGGTGGTACCTCTAAAGTCCTTTAAAAAAGTAAAAGAGTAATTTTCTGTGTTGTAGGTCTAGTGTTAAAGTCCAGTGATACCCCAGTGCCAAAGCTGCAGAAAGTTCTGGCCTCACTCATTGCAGCCGGAGCTTTGCAATTTTAATCTTGGACTGGTTCATGTGATTACCTGTTATTCAGATGCATCAATGGACTATGGCTTGCCCTGTGTAATCACAGCTCACTGCAGCCTCAACCTCCAGTGCTCAAATGGTCCTCCTACCCCAGCCCCCTGAGTAGGTGAGACTACAAGCATACACCATCATGCCCAACTAAATTTTAAATTATTTTTTATAGAAACAAGATCTCACTCTGTTGCCTCAGCTGCTCTTGAACTCGTGGGCTCAAACAATTCTCCCTCCTCAGCCTCCCGAAGTGCTGGGATTACAGGCATAAGCCATCATGCCCAGCCTGTTATGTATTCTTTACAGCATTTTTTTAAAAAGAGGAAATGCTAAGCAAACAGATGTTATTAAAATTGTCATGCAAACCAAAACGAGAATGTGAGATGATATTATATGAAGTATGAGAAAGATCTTTCAATTCTTACATCTTAATTTCTTAAAAGGAAATGCAGAGCAAGCAGGGACTCAAAGAGATATTTGCATTCCCATGCTGATAGCAGCATCAGTCACGATAGCCAAAAGGGGGAAGGAACCCAAGTGTCCCCGGAGCGATGAATAAATAAACAAACTGTGGTAAAATATTCAGTGGCCTATTATTCCGCCTTAAAAAGGAATGAAATCATGCTATAGAAGATGGCATAGATGAATTTTGGGGATATTATGCTAAGTGAAATAAGCCAGTCACAAAAGGACAATTACAGTGTAATTCTACTTATACAAGGTACCTAGAATAGTCAAATTCATAGAAACGGAAAGTAGAATGGTAATTGGCAGGGGCTGGGGAATGGGAGGATTGGACAATTACTGTTCCATGAGTTCAGAGTTTCAGTTTTACAAGAGAAAAAGAGTTCTGTGGATGAATGTTGGTGATGGTTGTACAACAACATGAATGTACTTAATACTCCCGGACTATATGCTTACATGTGATTAAGCTGGTTCATTTTATGTTATGGAGGCTGGTTTTTTTGCTTGTTTGTTTTTGAGATAGGATCTCGCTCTGTCACCCATGCTGGATGCAGTGGTATGATCACAGCTCACTGCAGCCTCAACCTCCAGGGCTCCAGCAATCCTCCCACCTCAACCCCCTGTGTAGCTGGGACTGCAGGCATGCACCATCATGCCCAGCTAATTTTTAAATTATTTTTTTTTGTGGAAACAAGGTCTCATTCTGTTGCTCATCTTCAACTCAGGGACTCAAGTGATTCTTCCTCCTCAGCCTCCGAAAGTACTAGGATTGCAGGCATGAGCCATCATGCCCAGCCTGTTATGTATTCTTTACAACAATTTTTTTTTTTTTTTGAGACGGAGTTTCGCTCTTGTTACCCAGGCTGGAGTGCAATGGCGCGATCTTGGCTCACCGCAACCTCCGCCTCCTGCGTTCAGGCAATTCTCCTGCCTCAGCCTCATGAGTAGCTGGGATTACAGGCACGCGCCACCATGCCCAGCTAATTTTTTGTATTTTTAGTAGAGACGGGGTTTCACGATGGTCTCATCTCTTGACCTCGTGATCCATCCGCCTCGGCCTTCCAAAGTGCAGGGATTACAGGCGTGAGCCACTGCGCCCGGCCCTACAACAATTTTTTTTAAAGGGGAAATGCTTAGCAAATAGAAGATGTTATTAAAGTTATTGTGCAGGTGCACATAGGGTTGGGGGAGGGAGCAAACAATCGCACTCCCTCTCCCTCGTCCACGGCTGCTGCCTCCTTCTGCAGCTCCTGGTGAAGACCTGGTACCTCTTTTGTGAAGCAGAGGCTGAGGAGACTCGGGTGCTCACCATGGCCAATCAAAAGCCCATGGAAGGAGTCAAGACAGATCAATGATCATATTAATTTGAAGGTGATGGGGCAGGATGGTTCTGTGGTGCAGTTTAACATTAAGAGGCATACATCACTTAGTCAAGGAATGAAAGCCTATTGTGAATGACAGCAATTGTCAGGGATTGTCAGTGAGGCAGATCAGATTTTGATTTGACAGGCAACCTATCAATGAAACAGACACACCTGTACAGTTGGAAATGGAGGCTGAAGATACAATTGATGTGTTCTAACAGCAGATGGGAGGTGTCTACTGAGAAGGGAACTTGCTTCATTACTCTAGAACTCTGTTCTTTTCAGACCAAGATGACATTTTCAATGAGAAAACTGAAATTTGGTTCTACTACATCCTGACTACTATAGTATAGTTTTCTCTATTATTTCATTTCCCCTTCCCCATTCCTTTACTGTACATATAGTAACTGGTATATGTGCACAAGCATATTGTATTTTTAAAAATCTAAACAGCCAATGGTATGTTTTGATTGACATCACATAGAGACGAGACAGGGAAAAATACTGATTCTGTGAAAATACCCCCTTTCTCCATTAGTGTCATGCTCATTGAGCTCTTATCTTTATATTCCAGTAAGTTATTTTGCTCTCACTGTTTAAACAAAAACAACAACATAAAACGCCTTACACACCTTGTCCAATTGGAGAATTTTAATGTTCTTCATTTATCATTGTAAAACCAAGGACAATTTTATAACTTTTTTGTATGTAGCTGTTACATATAGGGCAATCTGTGTTTAAATAGGGATAAATTACTCTAAAACAAAACAAAGCAAAAGAATTGTATGTCTGGGTTCAGTGGTTCATGCCTATAATCCTAGCACTTTGGGAGGCTGAGGCAGGCAGATCATTTGAAGCCAGGAGTTTGAGACCAGCCTGGCCGACATGGTGAAACCCTGTCTCTACTAAAAATATGAAAATTAGCTGGGCATGGTGGCACATGCCTGTAATCTTAGCTACTCAGGAGGCTGAAGCAGAAGAACTGCTTAAACCTGGGAGGTGGAGGTTGCAGTGAGCCGAGATCACGCCATTGCACTCCAGCCTGGGTGACAAAGCAAGACTCTGTCTCAAAAGGAAAGGGGTAAGGGGGAAAGGAAAGGGGAAAAGGGGGAAAAGAAAGGGAAAAGAGAAAAGAATCCTAGATACTTTTCCCTTCAAGTATCTTGTTTAAATAATTTTTTTTTTTGCTTAAAATGAAAAAAAAAAAAAGATTGTTGTGCAAACCAAAACGAGTATGTGGGATATTACATGAATTTCTCTTTGGTCAGACTTATATAGAGAAGAGCCTAAGTCACAGAGAATTGCTTTTATTATGCCTGAGGAATGTATCTTAAACATGGGACATGCTGCTCAAAAATGGGCCTAACTTTGTTAGCTGTTTTAAGGAAACTAAGGTTCCACATCCATGTGCCTACCTGTCAAGTGGGCACACACACACCGTATCTCATAGGCACTTCCACCAAACTGAGGTCACCTTTCTCATCAAAGCTGCTCTCCTTCTAGTCTTCCCCATTTCTGTGAATTACGTATCATCACCCATCAGTTGCAAAGCTTGAAATCTGGGCATCTTCTTTGCCCCTTTTGTTTTTCTCACAACCTCCCACATCTAATAAAAATTAACAAGGCCTCTGTCTGTCCACTCTAAGACTTTCACACAAATGTTTAAAGCAGAATTATTCTTCATAGACCAAATGTGGGAATAATCCAAGTGTTCATCAACTTGTAAATGGATAAATGAAATGTATTTAGAATAGAATACTATTCTACAAGAAACAGGAATTAACTATTGAAACATGCTACAATATGGATGGACCTCAAAAACATTATGCTAAGTAAAGGAAGCCAGACACAAAAGATTACATATTGTGATTCAAGTTATGTGAATATCTAGAAAAGGAAAATCTATAGAGACGAAAAGGAGATCAGTGATGCTGGGTTAGGGGTGGGAGCAGGGATTGGGCCTGAGGGAATTTTGGGGGTGATGAAAATATCCTAGATTATGGTGATGGTTGCAAAATTCTATACATTTACTAAAAATTATTGAATTGTATACTTTTCTTAAAAAAGGCATTTTATTTGAAAAATAACTTAGATATTTTATATTGAGTCAAAAAGAACTTTTTCTTTTCTTTTTTTTTTTTTTTTGAGACAGAGTTTCTCTCTTTTTGCCCAGGCTAGAGTGCTATGGCACGATCTTGGCTCACTGAAACCTCTGCCTCCCGGGTTCAAGTGATTCTCCTGCCTCAGCCTCCCAAGTAGCTGGGATTACAGGTGTGCGCCACCACGCCCGGCTAATCTTGTGTTTTTCTGTAGAGATAGAATTTCTCTATGTTGATCAGGTTGGTCTCTAACTGCCGACCTCAGGTGATCTGCCTGCCTTAGCCGCCCAAAGTGCTGGGATTATAGGCATGAGCCTCCACGCCCGGCTCAAGCAGATTTATTATAGAAAGAAAAGCAAAGGGCATAACTGTATAAATCAAGAAAGAGATTTTGGCTAGGTGCAGTGGCACACACCTGTAACCTGTAATTTTGGGAGGCCGAGGTGGGTGGATCTTGATCCCAGGAGCTTGAGATTAGCCTGGGCAACATGGCAAAACCCTACCTCTACTAAAAATACAAAAATTAGCTGAGCACGGTTGTATATGCCTGTGGTCTCAGCTACTTGGGAGATTGAGAGAGGAGGATCACTTGGGCCTGGGAGGTTGCAATGAGCTGAGATCACGCCACTGCAGTCCAGGCTGGGCGACAGAGTGAGACCGTGTATCTAAATAAATAAATAAATAAATAAATAAATAAATAAATAAATAAATGAGTTTCAAGAAAGATTAACAAGACCTATCCACTTCACTTTCTGACTTTTCTCCCTATCCTCATCTCTCCTTTAATCCCCTCTGCTATTACCCTAGTTCGGCCTATTTGTTTGTTTGTTCAACAAACATTTGACCACCTACTATGTACCAGGCATCACCTCCAGGTTGTACTCCCATGGCTGTGCCCTAACTAGTCTCCCTACCTCTGGCTTTGCCCCATTCCATCAGTAGCCATTACAACCATCTTTCAAGAAGGCAAATCTGATCCCATCCCTCTGCTTAAGAACTTCCAATGACTTCCAGTTGCCTTTTGGATAAACTTCAAACTCCTAACCAGGACCTGACTGTAGCTATGTATCTGGAGCCTGCTGGGCCTTTGTGCCCAGGCTGTGTGTGCCAACTGTAGCTGCCTTTTCTTTTGTGCTCTCCTCCCTCCATACCGGCGTCATCTTTTTCCTGGGTCTGCCAGCCTTCTTCATTCTCTTTGGTAACCTAACTCCCATTTAATCTCTATATCTCAGTTTAGAATCCTTTTGTAATCCCTTAGTTCCAGTTTAGGGGGCCTTTCTGTAGTTCCCCAGCCTGCCAGACAGATTTCATCACACAGTGCCCATGGAAAAGAGATGTACAATAAAACATATTAATAAAACATGTTAGGTGAATGAGCACTCAGAAAGAAACATCCAAAGAGGGACTGGTTGAGCCAATACAGGTTGAGTATCTCTTATCTTACATGCCAGGGACTGGAAGTGTTTTGGATTTCAGGTATTTTTTTTTTGGTGGGGGGCAGATTTTGATATGTTTGTATTATATATTTACCAGTTGAGCATCCCTAACCCAAAAATCCAAAATCCAAAGTGTTCCAATGAAATTTCCTTTGAGCATTATATCAGTGTTCAAAGTTTCAGATTTTGGAGCAGTTTGGATTTCAGATTTTTGGATTAGGGATAAGTAACTAAAGCTCGACCTGCATTGACTTTTGTTACTTATGGCCCCCATATTTAAGGGAAAGGGTGTTTCTCAGAGTTAGGAAACAGGAGCTTTATATACAATTTCCATGAAGGACACAGTGAGAAAGAAAGTCAAGATGATTTATCACTCTAAAAAAAAATGAACATAGCAAAAAAACCATATTAAGATTTTCTGGTCTAATTCTGTAAATGAGATTATCAATGGAGTGATATACATACAAAGTGCTAAGGTCACTTGGCTAAAAGAAACTAAGGTAATATACATTTTCAGAGAAAAAAGAAAACTAGAAAATAATTCTATCCCTACTGTTGGCATTAAGTATATTGCTTCAGCAGGCATATATCTTAAATGTTTTAATTAAATTCTTTTTACTGGAAATTATTCTGTTACTTCAAATTAGGGACCAAAAAAAGAATACCCTGTTTCACTCTGCTCACCAGCTTATTTAACTGTGTGGCATGTTGACCTGAAACTTACTTACTCCCCAAAGAAAAGCTTTTATTTCACCATTTTATAAAGCATACATGCGTCTTAATTTGATTAAAAAAAATTCTTCTTGCATTAAGAAGATTCTGCCTCATTGCCCTTAAAAACGTTCTCTTCCCCCCAGATTTGCAAACTTAAGGAAGCATAAATCAAAACATTTGCTGTTTGTCAATATGATCAAGAAACACCCCATTTGAAAAACAAACTCAAAACTAGGCCAGATTTTTTTAAAGTCCCTTCCCAAATTAAATCAGTTGATTTAAACAGCTTAGACTCCCCACTAGATAAGAAAGAAAAAGTGGGATGGGGTGAGGGTGGGTATGTAGCCCAGGTAATGGGAAAAGAAATTGAGTTGGATTCCTTAAGCTTCTCATTTTGCCTGTTGCTATGACTGTCTTCAACTGTCAGCTCTGAATCTCTAGCAGACTTGAGTTGGAATCACGCAGTAGGGACTTACTATAGTCTTATTTGGGTATTCAGAATAATATTCGTCATTATATATCATACCAAGGCAATTTTTAAAGTAATCTTATTGGCCAATGGTTTAGAAAGAAAGATATTTTTTTTCTGAAGAAGATCCAAAGTTCTCCTCTCTGCTTCTGTAAAGTCTTACATTTTTCTATTTTTTGACCTTTTTGTCCACACACAGAGAAAGGATCTTTAAGGTAAACTGCTAGGCAGCTTGCTGAGAGAAAAAAGGCAGGGTGGAGGAGTGCAGTGGGGTTTAAATAGCAGCCAAGTTGAGCAATAGTGTATTTTCCTCTTCAGAATGAATTTGGCTATTTTCTTCTTTTTTATACTTGTTCTTTACTGTGTTTTTTGTTTAAAATTTTTTTAATTGTGATGAAAAATACATAAAATTTATCACCTTCATTACTTCTAAGCATGCAATTCAGTAGTGTGAAGTATATTCACATCGTGGTACAATAGCTCTTCAGAACCTTTGCTTCTTGCAAAACTGAAACTCTGTATCCATTAAACAACTCCTGTGTCCCCACTTTACTATTGTTTTTTAAAATATTTATTTATTTGTTTGCTTTGAGACAAGGTCTCACTTTTTTGCCTAAGCTAGGGTGCAGTGGCGCAATTATAGCTCAAGGTAACATTGAACTCCTGCGGTCATGTGATTCTCCTGCCTCAGACTCCCAAGTGGCTGGGTCTACAGGCATGTGCCACCACACCCAGCGATTTTTTTTTTTTTCTTTTGTAGAGACAGGGGTCTTGCTTTGTTGACCAGGCTGGTCTGGAACTCCAGGCTTCAAGTGATCCACACACCTCCGCTTCCCAAAGTGCTAGGATTACAGGTGTGAGCCACCATGCCCAGTCTTACTGTTGTTTTTAAATTAGAATTAAAAAGTTGGACTCTTCTGATGCTATATAATGTTTTTATCAATTCATATGTCAAGAAGTCAAAATATTTAAGTATTTTTAATTTAAGAGATACCTGTTTCCTATGAACAGTGATATATTTCTATAGGTTATTGATTTTTTTCTTCTCTTCTACACATTTTCAGGTAGGTGGGAGAGGAAATCATTCATATCCTTAAACCTTTAGTTGCCTCTCTGATTCTCCCCATAACGTGAGGATCGAGACCGAGTTGTCTTCTAATTATAGGAAGCAGAATAATCCTCCTTTTCTAGATCACATGTCAAGTTTCTCCTTCCTTCCTTCCTTCCTTCCTTCCTTCCTTCCTTCCTTCCTTCCTTCCTTCCTTCCTTCCTTCCTTCTCTCTCTCTCTCTCTCTCT